ATTGTTTTGACTTAATGTCATAAAGAGCTGATATAATGCAACGGAAGACTTGACATAATGTAATAGAAAGTTGATATAACGCAATAGTAGTGTGAGTAAATGTCATAAAGAGTTGACATAATGTAATAGAAAGTTGACATAACGCAATAGTAGTGTGTGTAAATGTCATAAAGAGTTGACATAATGTAATGGAAAGTTGACATAACGCAATAGTAGTGTGTGTAAATGTCACAAAGAGTTGACATAATGTAATGGAAAGTTGATATAACGCAATAGTAGTGTGAGTAAATGTCATAAAGAGTTGACATAATGTAATAGAAAGTTGACTCAACGCAATAGAAGTGTGTGTAAATGTCATAAAGAGTTGACATAATGTAATGGAAAGTTGGCATAACGCAATAGTAGTGTGTGTAAATGTCATAAAGAGCTGACATAATGTAATGGAAAGTTGACATAACGCAATAGTAGTGTGTGTAAATGTCATAAAGAGTTGACATAATGTAATGGAGAGTTGACATAATGCTATAAGGCAGTGGAAAGTTCAAATTTTGACTCAATGCAATTTGAAATTTAAATTTATCGATTTATCAATATAAAGATAACAATCAGAAATGTGGGAACAGATTGTTAGTGAAATTTAAATTTTGATATTCTACCTGCAGAAAATTCTTAAAACGAGTCAAGCTATTAATAAATACTTTGATGATCAAAGACCACCAAAGATTTCCTTTGAATTCAACTTTTGGCAAATTTATAGTTAATGGCATTGTTTGCAAATTCTGTACGTGCACAATGCTTAAAAAAAATCGAAATTAGCGCTCATTTCTCTTTGAGTGAATATGAATGAATTATGAAGGGTATTCATGAAGTAGCGCATTATGTCCACGAAAAAGATGCTAAAATATAATTATCAAGCTTGCAGTCGTAGTCGGAAAATAGCTCTACAGGGGTAATGTTTTTTGGTGCTGTACCCGACTTTAAATAATAAATACATTTGATTTGAACATATCTTATTATTTAACACAAAAGGATCAGAAACAAGTTCTTGCAACTTACAAGTTCTCTAAATAAATATTATTTTATCTTAGCTTTCTTTGCTTTCACTTTGAAAAAAAAAAATAAGCACTTAAAAAAGTCAAAATGCGTTAAGGTAGGATTCTTCTCTGGTTTCTGACTAGATGAAACATTCAAAGTATATTTGCTTATATGTCTTATATATTGAGGTGTAAGGAATTTAAAAGACCATATTTTTCTTTCCTCATCACAATTGTACAACTTTAAATAGAAATGGTAAACTGTGTTTGAAAACTAGCAGGGACTATATTTTTGGCGGGATGGTGGCGTATGAAAATATCTTCTTTTCTGCCTCTCAAAATTATAATAGAACAATGAATTTAGTTATAATTTGTACACAATCGAAGACTTGGAGAAATTTTCAAATGTAAGTTAAATTTATAATGAGGGACTAAACTTTCAAAATATATCAAATAAATATGATTTTCCAAACAAATTACAATTATGTTAGCTTTTAAAGGCTTCCTATCAAAGTGCAGATTTGAGCCAAAAATCAATAAAAAGTATTTTTTCTCTTAGTAAAAGATCAAAACTTTTTGTTTTTGTATCATTTTGTACATTTATAAGACTACTTTATTATATGTGAATATAAGAAAAAGTTAAATATAGGAAGCATATGAAAATAACTAATATATCCTAAAAAAAATGAAGAAAAACAGAGAAAATTCGGATTAGCCAATATCCAGTTAAGTTAAATTATTTATGTAAATTTGGTAATATCATGCTACAGACCGAATATAGTAATATGTTTTTATGCAAAAAGAACAATCTTTAAACTTTTGAAATAGAAGTAGGTATCACATGATTGGCAACAGTACTTTTTTATTCTTAATGTCAAGGAAAAAGATAATAACCTTGACCTGACCTTGCCTCTAATATAAAACGGTCAAATTTAATTTCACTGATACTATCACTTACTGATATTGTCTTCTTGATTCTGTGAAAATTTCATTAATTTTTAAATATTAGAAATATGAGAAGAATCCTACCTTAAAATTAGAACAAAACCAACGTACTTTGAATTTTTTTTTGAATTTAAAATCTTATGCGAAAAAAAGAAGAAAACACTTGCTGTGGCCTTCAGCTAGACATTTTATATTTAGATATATCGACGACGTATAGTCAATTAACAGCGGCAATTTCCATTCTTATGTCGATACGATATATCTTGGTGAGCTTGAGATAAAAGATACCACAGATTCTGACACATCTGTTTTATATTTAGATATTTTACTTGAAAAATACATTAATGGTATTCAAACAATCAAGCTCTTTGATAAACGTGATGACTAACTTTTCTATCGTAAACTTTCCTTACTTATGCAGCAACTTACCTTTTTCACCTGCATACGGAGTTTATATATCTCAGTTGATTCGATACGCAAGAGCATGCTCTACGTATGAACAATTTATAAAACGAGGAAAATTATTGACAAACAAGTTGGTGAAACAAGAATATCAACAGTCTCGTTTAAAGTCATCATTTCGTTAGTGACCTTGTCAGCAAGTACAATTTATCAGATTTGTTTTAATCTTGAATATTGTTCGTCATTTCCACACGGCAGGAATGACCAGTAGATACAGGGTTTTTACTCCTCCGTAGCGCCTGATCCCACCTCTGTTTTCAGAGGTCCTTGTTGGTTTTGCTTTGGATCAGTTGGTGTCATCAAATTTCCCTTTTCAGAATTAGATTTTTCTCTCTCTCTATTTTTTCTTTATGATATTCAATCCCCTTCCTTAATCTAATTCTCTCCCCTGTCGGTGAGTCACAAGATAGGACAAACGATAATATTCATAGCAAATATGACAATATTTCAATAGTTCTGTACATAGAGCTCTGCAACAATTCAGAAAAGATATTTGCAAAAAAGAAAAAAAAGATACTTAGAACTTTTAAAATAATAAACAGTAATACCAAAACGTATAACTTTTCAGGATATGTAAAGTTAGCTATCAGTCACTGAATATACAACAAGTGGGTAAAATTAACTAAACACAGTTGTTATACTAGTACTAGTAATTTGTATATTTATCAAGATGTATATAGTAGTATTAAGAAAAAAATTAAAATTTGTGAAAGTGCAAGGATGTGTCAATCAAACCTATCCAAAAATAACTCTAAATAACTTTTATATGAAGTTAGAATTTTAATATATTTTCGTGTAAAATGCTTTTAAAATATATGTCGTGATATTATAGAAAATATTAACTTCAAACTATGGAACGCCAAATTAACACATATTCAAACATTTGTACCTCTCTTCAAATGAATTGAAGATAGGTACACTTGAGTTAAAGATAGGTACAATTAAATTGAAGATAGGAACAATTGAATTGAAGATACAATGTAGGTATAAATAATTATACCTATCTCTAGAGAATTATACCTGGGTACAAATGAATTATACACATATCTTCAATTCAATTAAAGATATGTTCAATTGAATTATACCTATCTCTTATTCATTTGAACGTAGGTATAACTGATTTAAAGATAGGTACAATTGATTTGAAGATAGCTTCAATTATAAGACATATCCACAAAGGATTTGAAAATAGATACAATTCAATTATACCTAGGTTCAATTCGTTTTGTGTTGTTGAACAAACGCTCCCTTTGAGACATGGAGGGAAACACACAGAACCTACAGTGCGATGACAACGAGGATAAAAGGAGAAGTAAAAGTAAATTCAAAATGTGCAAAAAGAATCATATACTTATTAGAATACACATGTATATCAATAAGTGAGCAAAAAGCATATATACTATACCCGAATACCCCGAAACTGACGGAAATGACGTATGATAAAGGGAGTAGTTATTATTGCCAATATCTTAGTAATTAAAGATAGGTTCAATTCAATTGTACCAATCTTTAAATCTATTATACCCATTTTTACCTATCTTCAAATTAATTGTACCTATCTTCAAATGAATTAAAGATAGGATAAGTGAATTGTACCTATCTTTAGTTATAATTGATTTAAAGACAGGTACAATTCATTTGAAGATAAGTACAATTACTTGAAGATAGGTACAAATATTTGAATATAATTATGTTAATTTGGCGTTCCATACAAATCTCTGTCTATGCACCTTTTAAAGTCAATAAAAAAATTAGTAAATTTACTGTCCATACAACTACTTTAAAACTAGGTATTGGGTAAATTTACTAGATAACATCACTAAATCTAGAATGTATCAGTTACTTTCACTAGGTAAAGTATCTATAAGACCCCCGCTACATAACTCACTATCCAGTAAACTGAAAGTTTACTAATCAAGATAAACGCTTTTCGAGGTATAGTAGTTAAATTCACTAGGTTTTTCTTTCAGTGAATAGACTAATTTAGTTAGGATTAATGGATTTTGTTTTTACTGATAAACATTATTTTAATTGATTGGCTTTGCTGAGTGCAATAAACAAGTTATGCAAAACGTTAGTACACAAATGTAATTAAATAATATTGATTACAGACTGATGAATTCAAAAATAATTTTGCAAATTCTGTGTTTGTTATAATGACATACTAAAATTGGAAATGTTTATATATACTACAGTGCCGTATTGTTAGTTTGCTTTTTACATCCGGTATGTAATTTCAGTTAATAAATTCAAATTTAAAAAACAAAATTTAAAATAAACTGTACTTGATGATTCTAAGCACTACGGTAACTTTCGTTTTGATTCACAATTTTAAAATTAAAATGAAAACATGTTATTCTAGGTAATGATTCGAATATTAATACTCAGGTGACCTTATTTTGTTGAAGTTATTTAGACTCTGTCTGCATATTTTCTATCTTAAGTATCTGGGTATTTCCATTTTTTTAAAACCCTGGGCTTGACTACAATAATTTCTTTTCCAAAATGAATATAAATACGATAAAGATCATTCAAGAAGTTTTTACTTCGAGATACATGTATGTTAAACTCTTAACAAAGCCGGTATTTGGAAATTAATGCAGAGGACTGAGGTATAAAATAAATTTGTGAATTATTTTAGACCTTTAATTCTAATAATGTACATATATAATGGAAAACTTCCTTTTATGTTAACAAATTACTTTCCTCTCCTTGACTGAAAGTTTTTACAGATCACCAAAGGCGAGATTTAAGACCAAGTAAAGCAATTTGAGATGAATTGTATGACAGTTTAATATTTTTTCTCTTTTATTGTAGGTTTTAAATGATGTTTTGAAGACGATTTGAAAAGAGAATGAAATATTTAGCGATATGTGTGTTTATGACAACTTATTCCATGCAACAATCTGGTAAGTTTTCGAGAGAACAGTTGGATTTAGTGACACTACCTTTACATGTACCAGCAGTAAGATTTCTCCAATAGTGAAATATTCCTTAAAGTTTGCATTTGTGTAAAAAAAACATAAATGACAATATCATTGTCTAACATAGCTGCAGAACTGTAGCTCTTCGAAAAAATATGTTGACAGACCGGAGATTTACAGTGCCACCCATTGAAAAAACTGTATATTTATTGCGCAAAAAAAAGTGCGTTCGGTTCTGGATTAATTCTTCCAAAGTCTTACCTCAGTTGCAAAAAAAGCTAGACTTCAACAAAGTCCTTACTCCTCTATCAAATACTTTCGTAGTTAACATCTGTACGAAGCGCGTTGGGCCGAATTATCTTGCAAACCAAAATGGCAGTATAAATAGACGAAATTTCGATGATCTCAAAGGACCAGATGGGCTGTTAAAAACAATTATAAGGAATGTTATGATGTGGAAACAGTGAAAAAATATGTTAAGAACTCACGGTTAGTAATATTTTGAGATGGCAGTTTTAAAAACATGGAGAAAAAAAATCGAGAAATAGCGCACTTTTTTGTCCAATAAAATCTACAGTTTTTTTTCAATGGATGGCACTGTAGCTCTCCGGTCTATCAATGTATTTTTCGGAGAGCTACAGTTCTGCAGCTATGTCTAACATGAAATGCAGTAAGCAGTGCCCTAAATTTGGGCCACAACCTGAGTAGCTTTAACCATGCTGTTCTTTACCATTTTCCCCCTAGTTATTTACCCTTTTTCAATTCTAAATTGGGTAATTTAAAATTTACACTACCCAAGGATGCTTTCACTTAAGTTTCAGCTTTTCTGGCCCAGTGGTTCTTGAGAAGAAGATTATTAAAGATTTTTCTTATTTATTTTTATGTAAAACTTTGATTCCCTGTTGTGGTCCCGCCCAACTCCCTGGGTCATAATTTGAACAATTTAGAATCCAAACTACCCTATTATGGTTTCACATAAGTTTCAGCTTTACTGGCCCGGAGGTTCTTGAGAAGAAATTTTTTAAAAGATTTTTCATGTTTATTTCTATGTTAAACTTTGATTCCTTATTGTGGCCCCGCCCTACTCCCAGGGGTCATGATTTGAACAATTTAGAATCTACACTATCCCAGCATGCTTCCATATAAGTTTCAGCTCTTCTGGCCGAGTGGTGCTTGAGAAGATTTTTAATTTTTTCCTATATATTTCTATGTAATGCTTTGATTCCCTGTTGTGGCCCCTCTTACCCCTGGGGTTCATGATTTGAACAATTTAGAATCTACACTACCCCAGCATGCTTCCACATAAGTTTCAGTATTTCTGGTCCAGTGGTTCTTGAGAAGAATTTTAAAAAAAGATTTTTCCTATTTATTTTTCTATAAAACTTTGATTCCCTATTGTGGCTCCGCCCTTCCCCGCGGGTCATGATTTTTAAAATTTAAAATCTACACTATCTCAGCATGCTTCCACATACGTTTCAGCTTTTCTGGTCCAGTGGTTCTTGAGAAGAAGATTGTTTAAAGATTTTTCCTATTAATTTCATTGTAAAAATTTGATTCCCTATTGTGGCCCCGCCCTACCCCCTGGGGTCATGAATTTTACAATTTAGAATTTACACTGCCCAAGGATGCTTCCACATAAGTTTCAGCTTTTCTGGTCCAGTGGTTCTTTAGAAGAAGATTTTCAAAGATTTTTCCTATAGATTTCAATGTTAAACTTTGATTCCCTATTGTGGCCCCGCCCAACACCCAGGGGTCACGATTTGAACAATTTAGAATCTACACTGCCCAAGGATGCTTCCACATAAGTTTCAGCTTTTCTGGCCAAGTGGTTCTTGAGGAGAAGATTTTCAAAGATTTTTCCTATTTACATGTATTTAATTAAATGTAAAACTTTGATTCCCTATTGTGGCCCCGCCCTACCCCTTGGGGTCATGAATTTTACAATTTAGAATCTACACTACCCCAGCATGCTTCCACATAAGTGTCAGCTTTTCTGGTCCAGTGGTTCTTCATCGTCGCAAACCACGGCCAAAATATACGATCCTCTCCCATTCTGGCCGTGGTTGAACGAGGAGAGAATTCTTCGTAGCTCATTAAAATATTGACCAGTGTGAGTAAAGCATAGTCGGATGATGAACTTTATCGCGACCTTTCAATATCCAATCGCAGTTTACGAAATATTCCTTGTATACTGTTGATGTCAATTGTTGCGATGGAAACAAAACTTCCTGAATTTGACGTCACAATAGAGAGGCGTAAATATTCAAGATTACGCCACTATTTATGATCAAGCAGCCATGGGTAGGAGAGAGCTTTATGCGGACTCCGGACCGTGGCTTGAGACGATGGTTGTTCTTGAGAAGATGTTTTAATGATCCCTTTAATGACCTTATCTCCCCTATTTCTGAATTATCTTCCCTTGTGAGATGACTTGGCCCTTCATTTTAACAATTCAAACTTCCCTTCACCCAAGAATGCTTTGTGGCAAGTTTGGTTGAAATTGGCCCAGCGGTTCTTGAGAAGAAGTCGAAAATGTGAGAAGTTTACAGACGGACAGAGCATGAGACGGACGGACAGACGGACGGACGACGGACAGAATGGGATTAGAAAAGCTCAATTGAGCAGGTAAGCTAATGAAACCGATTATTTTCGAGGGTGGATGGGTACAAATTGTTAAGATTTGAGGAGAAAAAAATATTGGCCTTTGCAGATTTGATTTCGTGGTTGACTGTTCGAAATGTTAAATTATTAATTTTCGAACATTAGGTCGGGTCCCAAACCATACATCAGAGTAGCCATCAATGAAGACATTTAACAAACATCATCATCTTCTATGTCAAATATTTAATTAAGGAATGAATTTAATAGCAACCCATTTTATGCGGTATAAACTGGGTTGGGGCAGTTCGCGGTTTATAAAAAAGCGTAAACTGTTCCAACCCAGTTTATACCGTATAAAATGGGTAGCTATTAAATTCATTGCTTATAATTTAATTTTCATTCATTTGATGTAAGAAAAAAAGATTATTGTTCTAATAAAATGACTTCAATTTGTGCAAAATTTGAATGTAACGTCATGCGTATTGATACGTTTTTGACGCACGTCATTGTGACGTAGGCAACCCATTTTATACGATATAAAATAATTTTTTATCCAATCAAATACATCGTTACAACCATAATTAAATTGTTTATGTTTGAAAAATTTCGACTTTGAAATAAAAGTTATCTGTCTAATTCCAACCAATGATGTTTCCATCCATCCCATCCTTTAATCGCTCCCTTTGAAGTACCAGATTCACTCGGAAAATTGTATAGCAAACTTGTATTTTATTTCTTTACCCCAAAACTCAACCCCTCCAATTTTTTTTAACATTTCAGATGTACATTTACCACTCCAGTGTGTGATTATACAGAAAAGACAAGCAATTGTTCCACCACAAAGTGAGCTGTTATATATATTGTTCATTCTTATCCATTTACGAATAATAGTACATGCGTTGTATCCAGAATATATAACTGAGAAATTCTAATTTATTAAATATTATATAGGAGTTCCCCAATTCTTACATGTAGATGGTGACAAAACGGCGTGCCAACAACATGGATCAGGTACCTTTTAATGTTTGTTGTTTTTCAGAATAAGAAATGATTTTTAATCAATGATAAACGTTTATTAATATAAGTGAACTCAAGAAAAGATTTTTTACTTTATACAAGTAATTCATGTTGTACTGAAAAATTATTCGAGATACCATCAGAAACGTGCATAGATTAAAACAGAGAAATCATCCCTTAATAGGACACGAGACTTTACAGTGTGGCAATACTGATGTATACATTAAATCTGAGTGTGTTTGTACATTTTATAACGTAAATGAAGCAAAATACCACGACCATACGGCTTGTCCAAATGGAGAGAACTCGGACGATGTGAAACGATTAACATGTAAGAAATTTTACAAATGCTTTCCATCAGTATTCACAGAATAATTAGAGAAAGGATATTACTGATTTTGAAATTCAGTATGTGTATTTATTTTATTATTTCTAGAAATAATTTTAAGGTAGAGAGTGTGCACTATTCAGTCTCCACAACAAAGGGCCCTGTATTAACGGCGGCAATCTGACGTGTAAGACGGGGGAAAACGTGCTTGCGCCTGATATTCAATGTGACTGTCCAGATGATTTTGAAGGAATGTTTTGTGAAAATAGAATGGAGAATGTATGTTCAGTTTTATTCATAATAATTTTCACGTTTATTTGGTTCAGGGATAAACCTATTAGATCTCAATGATAAATTTGAAAAGAAGACAAACCCATCGTATTTTGATCTACCTTATTGTATAGTCAGTTCAAGTTTTATTTTGATAGGTGACCAGAATTTGTGACATGGTCACAGAACCTTCTTCTCCCCAACTAATAAACTGCGACCTCACGAAAATGGATTGCTTTACATACAGCGAAAACAAAAAATATGCTTTCAAATGTAATAAAACAGAGGAAAGCCAGGAAAGAAAAGGTACAGCGATTTAAATCTAGAAACTCTCTCTCTCTCTCTCTCTCTCTCTCTCTCTCTCTCTCTCTCTCTAAAATAAAAGAAGAACATGCAGAACTTCCAAATTTTATTTAATACAAGCGCTTTCTTTCGATTTAATAATCCGTCTTTCTATGTACCTGCATACATATGCGTATTTTCTTAATGAAATTTGATCTACATTTTGCACAGGATTACCATTATGTAGCGAGATAGAATCCGTAATCATTCATACTATTGGAAAAACAACTACAGAATCTGGAAATGTACGGGTGGAATCTAACAATACGCGACATGGATATACATCAAGAGCGGACAAACTCACACCAGTTTTGACACTAACGTCAGTTTACTGTTGGTTTCTAAATATAAAAACCTTTGCTGAGACTCTGCTCTTAAGAGTTTAGGTGTTAACTTCTTTGAAAGGACACATTTTTACAGAACTTCATGAAAAATAATTTGAAGTGTTTGAATTCTTTTAAACGAATTATAGGGTTTGTCATTATCGAGTGATTACTCAGTATTATTTAATACATTTAAAGAATTTATACAATTTCTAATCTCAATCGTAAATGTTTGTTTAAATAATCCCTCTTTCCTTATTATTAGCAGACCTATTTTTGAATTCATATGAAGCAGAATTTGGCTTAAACGTGAAAAAGAAGAAAACACTTGCCGTGGCCTTCAACTCGATATTTAGATATATCGATGACGTATAGTCAATGACAATGGATATTGCCATTTTTATGTCGAAATGATATATCCAGTCGAGCTTTATTAAAATAAGAGATACCATATAGAGTCTGCCATATCTATAAAAATATAAAAAAACATTTAGATATTTTACTCGAAAAGACGTTAGGCCTAATAGTCATCTAGCAATCAAGCTTTATGATAAACGTGATGACTTCTATTTTTCAATGGTCAATTGCCCTCATACCTTCATCATCTGCATATGTTGTTTATTTCTCAGTTGATTCGACACGCAAGAACATGCTCTCCGCATGAGCAATTTATAAAACGGGGTAAATTATTTCCAAACAAGTTGCTAAAAAAAGAATATCAGCAGTCTCTTTCAAAGTTAACATTTCCAAAGTTCTATGGTCGATACTATGAAATTGTACGATTTATCATTGATTCAAATGCTACTGTATCTGACGTTTTTCACACTAATTATTAGGTTAAATTGTATACTGTTCGTTATCTCCATCAATGAAATTTCGTCGTATTAAGATACGGATAGAGCAAAAAATGAGAATAAAAATTATAACATTTCTACTTAGAATTTTATCA